TATTGAGAAAAGTATTTTGACTTTTTGATACTTAATAACTTCTGCATAGTTTGTCGCACATTCAAAAACCTTATATCCACGCGTTCGGTGAATGGAGCTGAATCTCCCCATATAGGCCCCGCCCACTTCTGCTAATTTTTTTTTGTTAGAGCGCGAAATGTCCTTAAACTACTTTTTCGTGTTCCTCCTACACCCTATGTCCGATTCGCACCAAATTTTCACCTAGCAGCTGGGGACCGCCCCGGCAAAAAAAAAGTAATTTGACATTTTTGAAATTTAAAAAGATTAAAAAAATAAGCACCCTATAAAATTCACAGTTCCTGTACATTTTTGGTCAAAAAAGGAAGTGGACCATTTCTCCACATTGCTATGTCCGATTGTCACCAAACTTGGGTCCATAGTTACTCATGTCTTTCTTAGGCATCGTGCACAATTTCAGGTCATCGCCACTAGGTGGCACTCTTTAAAATGAAGAAGTTTATATCTCTGCAACAGCACGTGTGATTAAAATGAAACTTGGTACGATGATTGCCCATGGCTCCCTGAGGCTCACTTAAAAAGGACAAAAAAAATACGCCACTAGGTGGCGCTCTTTTGGACTGGTGCCTGAAGCTCACATACCAAAAATCGTGTTTGTCTTGTTTGTAGCGCCCCCTACAGGATAAAAAAAAGCAGCAGCCCCGGCGCCACGTTTCACCGATATGTACGAAACTCGGTAGGCATGCCAGGATGTACAAAAAAGCCTCTTGGACCCATACCCGAAACCCAACAGGAAGTCGGCCATTTTGATTTTCATTTTCACTTTCGGCGAACTTTTCGCGTTGTATTTGAACGAACTCCTCCTAGGGAATTTATCGGATCTACTTCAAAATTGGTCAGTACAGTCAAAAAATGGTGCTGATTAAAAGTTGTGCTATTTGTGCATGTACGTTGAAGGGCGTGTCCGTGGCGTGCCCTCAAAGTTGGCCATAGTGAATTCCGTGCACATTTTCTGTGATTTTTTTGCGCTGTATTTGAACGAACTCCTCCTAGGGAATTTATCGGATCTGCTTCAAAATTGGTCAGTACAGTCAAACAATGGTGCTGATTAAAAGTTGTGCTATTTGTGCATGTACATTAAAGGGCGTGTCCGTGGCGTGCCCTCAAAGTTGGCCAGGTTTAATCAAATGTCAAACTGTGATGCCATTTCTGGTATTTTGCAATGATTTTCAGCATTTCTTTTTTTGCGTTGTATTTGAATGAACTCCTCCTAGAGAATTTATCAGATCTGCTTCAAAATTAGTAAGTACAGTCAAAAAATGGTGCTGATTAAAAGTTGTGCTATTTGTGATTGTACGTTAAAGGGCGTGTCCGTGGCATTCCCTCAAAGTTGGCCAGGTTGAATCGAATGTCAATCTGTGACGCTATTTCCGGTATTTAAGGTCTTCTGTTTTAACTAACTCCTCCTACAGATTTTATCAGATTGACTTCAAATTCAATCACTTCAATCTACACACATTGGTTATCAAAAGTTGTGCTATTTGTGACTGTATGTTTAACCGTGTGCCTGTGACGACGTGTCGAATTCCACCGATTAGCCATCAAACAGATAGTACTCATATCTTCAGTGTACAGTCCCACCCTGAACACGTCCTCATTACTTCAGCGTACATGATCCAATCTCAATGAAACTTCACGTGTTTGATAACAGTCCCACCCTGAACACTTCTACATGACAATATTCAGACATAGTGATAGCGCCACATACTGGTAACAGGAAGTATCACGTTTTATACTTTCATGTTCTACTTCTCGCAGGATGATCAGATCCAGCTGAAATTTACTTATCAAATGCAAAACACATTGTTGATGATATGTGTTGACTGTGGTGAGGGGGCGTGTCTTTGGGGTGGCGGGAAATTTTGATGGACCGCCACAAAACATGAATTTGCTATAACTAGAGTGTACATTGTCCAATCGGCTCCACACTTCAAATGCTTGATAACAGTCCCGCCCTGAACACGTGTACATGACAATATTCAGACATAGTGATAGCGCCACCTACTGGCAATAGGAAATAAGCGCTGTGTGGCGATTTTGAGCTGATTAACTGCAGATTTTCATGTTGTGGTCCGCACGTGTTACGACGGCACGCAACACGGCCGCAGCATGCCCCGAGTTGCGTAGAGTGCGAGGTCCCGCCCAACGCTGCTTGCAGCTTTAATTATTATTATTATTATTAATATATATTGCTGCTGTCGTCGTCATCATCTTCTTCATGTTCATCATCATCAGTCACTACTATTAGTGTAGTTGTCGCTACTGTCGTTATTGCTGTGCACTGTTCTGTCTCTCTCTCTGTCTGTCTCTCTCTCTCTCACCCCAACTGGTCGAGGCAGAAGACCACCCACCTAGAGCCCAAGGGTCTGTCCTAGGTTTCAGCCTTTTAACAGGCAGTTTTTCCTTGCCCCCGTCGCCAAGTGCTTGCTCATGTTGGTACTGTTGGGTCTCTGTAAATGTTATAAGGAGTTCGGTCTAGACCTGCTCTATTTGAAAAGTGTCCTGAGATAACTTATGTTATGAATTGGCGCTATACAAATAAAATTGAATTGAATTGGATTGAATTGAATTGAATATATTAATAGGCTAGGCTAACTTTTTGTTTTGTACTTTATAGCAATTTGGAAGTTTACAGCTGTGGTTCAGAGGCAGAGCGGGTTCGATCCCCGGCTCGTCCCGCCATGTGTCAAAGTGTCCTTGAGCAAGATACTGAACCCCAAATTGCTCCCGATGCTTTGCATCGCTGTGTGAATGTGTATGAATGAGTTAGTTTATGTTTGATGTGCTTTGCCATTGCTGAGTGAATGTAGTGTAAAAGCTCTGGTGAGCAGCTACACCTTGCGCTACACCACTGATGGCAGCCACTGCAATGTACAGCACATTGAGTGGTCGAAAGACTAGAAAGGCGCTATATAAGTACAGTCCATTTACCATTTACCATCTGCATAACTATGAAAGTTAATGGAGTAATTCTGAGTAATGTTGCCTAACGGTAGCATATATAAGGTGATTAAAATTGGTCCAAGCACAGAACCTTGTGGAACTCCATGGGTAACTTTAGTGCTTATGGAGGATTCATCGTTAACATGTACAAACTGAAAACTATCTGATAAATAGGACTTAAACCAGCTTAGTGTGGTTCTTTTAATGCCAATTAGATGGTCAAGTCTGTAATAGAATATTATGACCAATGGTGTAAAATGCAGCACTAAGATCTAACAATACAAGTACAGAGACAAGTTACTTGTCTGAAGCAAATAAAAGGTCGTTATTAACTTTGACCAGTGCTGTCTCTGTGCTATGATGCACCCTAAATCCTGACTGAAAATCCTCAAATAAGCTGTTGCTATGTAAAAAGTCACACAACTGTTTGGCGACTACTTTCTCGAGAATCTTAGAGAAGAAGGGGAGGTTAGAAATCGTCTATAGTTGGCTAAAACCCCTGGGTCAAGAGTGAGCTTTTTAAGAAGGGGTTTAATTACAGCTACTTTAAAGGACTGTGGTACATAACCTGACAGTAGAAGAAAGATTGATCATATCCAGTAAAGAAGTGCCAACTAAGGGTAAGACTTTGGGGTGTCTAAGAGACAGGTTGATGGCTATGAGCTCTTTAAGATATTCAGTTCAATTAAATTTTATTTGTATAGCGCCAATTCATAACATAAGTTATCTCAGGACACTTTTCAAATAGAGCAGGTCTAGACCGAACTCGTTATAACATTTACAGAGACCCAACAGTACCACCATGAGTAAGCACTTGGCGACGGGGGCAAGGAAAAACTGCCTGTTAAAAGGCTGAAACCTAGGACAGACCCTTGGGCTCTAGGTGGGTGGTCTTCTGCCTCGACCAGTTGGGGTGAGAGAGAGAGAGATAAGAGAGAGAGAGACAGACAGACAGACAAGTGCACAGCAACAACAAAATAATAGGCTGCTTTGGCATTATGGAGGGCCTTTCTATATGTTTTAAGACTATCTTGCCAGATTGAACGTGATTCTAATAGTTTCGAGGAACGCCATTTCCTTTCAGATTTCCACACTTTTTGTTTTTTGCTAGCCTCCTATGTTTTAATATTTTCCTTTTAATAGGGACAATAGAATATAGGGTTGTTCGTAGTGAGCCTGCAGCTATTAACAAGATGATCAATTTGGGAGCGACTAAGGTTGTTATAGGACTTTGTTATATCCAGACATGGCATTGAATTAAACACTGATGTAATCCCCTCCTTAAATTTAGCTACAGCACTGTCAGATAGACATCTGCTGTGGGATGTTTTGCCTAATGGTCTATAGTCTAGTAAAAGGGATTCAAAAGTTATTAAATAATGGTCAGATAGAAAAGGATTATGTGGGAAGTGTTAAATGTGGGAAGTGTTAAATGTGTTAAATATCAATGACATATGATAGAACAAGGTCAAGAGTGTGATTAAGACAATAGGTGGGTTTATTTACATTCTGACCGAAGCCAATTGAGTCTAATAATGAGATGAATGCATTACTAAGGCTGTTATTGTCAATATTCACATGAACATTAAAATCACCGACAATAATTACTTTCTCTGTTTTAAGGACTAAACTTGATAAAAAACTCTGAGAATTCAGATAAAAAAATCAGAGTATGGTCCAGGAGCGCAGTACACTATAACAAACAGAACTGGCTGAAGTGTTTTCCAGGTTGGGTGAGAAAGACTAAGTACAAGGCTTTCAGTAAATGTGGTTTCTACAGAAAACTAATTTTGCATTCTGGGGAATGTATGTTGATAAATTCACATGAGAGTAAAAAAAATCATTTGAAAAGCAGTGTAATCACTAGTCACATACAGTAGTGTGAGAATAATAACTGCATTTGAGAGTAATGGTTTTCATTTAACAATTGTCAAAGAAACTTTGCCAAAGTTGCCATCATGTAAGATAAAATTAGAAAGTGAACAAGGTACATAATAAAGTTTTGTGGTTTGGATTACCTCAGATGAGGATTCCAGGTCCTTGTGTGTTTGAGTGAAAGAAGACCAGTTAGAGGACGAGAGAGGTGTTTGTGCACCATTTTCCCCCTGCTTTTCAGAAGATCTGGACAATCCAGTAGAACTATCTGGGAAGAGGAAAAAATCAAAAGTTTCAGCATCAACACAATTAATGTAAGTCTTTCAAGTCTCTTCCAAACAACTCCTCTTGGAAACAAAGTAGCAGCAGGAGAGCAAAGCTGGGCCATTACATTTGTCTTAATAGTAACCAAATCCAGACTTGTCTAAACACTCGCACAACTGTGCCTGCCCTGCCTGACTCTGCAGTAGTGGAGTGTTCTATTACTTCCACAAGTGTGGTCTGGTGTTACATGGTCCTTGACATGTTGCTGCAGGGACTGAATTACAATACCTGTCATCTAAAGATGTTTCTAAGTTCTTTGCATATCCCACCAGAAGAATTGCAGCACTGGTCGGTCACTGAGCAGCAAGCGGATTTGGTGGAACATTGATTTGATGTCTCCACTTTAACTACACACATACCCATGCAATACCTTTAAATGTTACTCAAATTTTGGAAGTAAACAGTCTCTTGTACATCAAAGGATTTTCTGACTAGAATCACTTCCATGGTGTATCAACCCACACCTGTTTATAGAGGTTACACTTCCTCACATTGGTCCTCCAAGTGTCCTGGATTGGGTTACAATAGATACTATGGAGTCAGCCCCCTTAGGTACTCAAGAGCTGCAATACAGTCGACCTCACAAACACCACCATCCAAGTATGTGCACACATACAAGGAATTTTACTCTGGTTTTACGTTGCTGTCAATATACTGGGGCAGCAGTAGCTCAGTGTGTAGGGACTTGGCTTGGGAACCGGAGGGTCGCCGCTTTAAGTCCCACAGACCACAATATGGGAGTGTTTGCCAAGTCCGGTGTCCAAGCAGCAATGTTAAATGAGAGAATTAAGTATTTAGAACTTGTTGAACTCCAGACACCTCAAAAAAGCGGAAAATGACTGAGCCATTTAGTAACCCACATCAGTTTACCAATCTTCTGGCAATGATTTCATAAAACACACATTTCAAGCTAGCTAACACATCGATCATGAACACATGGCCTTGTGCTTTGAGCCAAGGTTGGTTGGTTCTTATGACTTCAGTTTACATCACATACTTCAAACAGCTACAAATGTATTTATATAGCATTTCTGCCTTTTTTGAAACCAGGAAGTTAGACAGGAGTCCTTAGGACATAGCTAATATGGATGGGAGGATCGATCCTAGGGGATCAATACTTATATACTTACAAGCTTTTGAATAGGTATCAATTCCTTTTATGAATACAATTATATGAATCAAAACATGGGTCGCTGCTAATCTGTGTTTCATGGCTGTGGAAACCTATGAGATGTGAGAATCAAGCACACAGCCACACACAGTCGCGCACTTCAGCACAAACTTGAGTTGTAAATGTGAAAGAGAACGAAAAAGGGCAGAAAGGAAACATAGCGTAGTCCGGTGCTACTTTTCATCTAAGGTGCCACACAGCAATAACATGATAACCTCTTCAAACATTTTAAAACAACACACCCCGAAAGTTATAGAAAGCTGAACAAAAAAAGATGTCCAAAACATCTAAGAAACAAAAGACTACAGGTAAATAGGGTAAAAAAAAGAAGAAAACTTTAGAAACTATATTGATATTACCATGAAAATTCCTGTTAATTACATGAATTATTTTTTGTAATAAAAGTTTCCTGAAATTCTATGTTTAAATATGCAAATTAAATACTACATAAAAAAGGTGCAGATTTGCATACGTTTCCATAACAAGAAGATAAGGTATAAGAAGATTTTATAGTGTCTTGTTTAATATTTTTGTTTAGTTTATTATGAAGCAAGAAATTTGTGTGCAAACATTTTTATTTAACTGCTTTTGTAAAAAAAAATGGTATTAATGGATGGTGAATGTGTAAATACAATTATTTTGATCACATCGGTAAAATTGTATCAGAGAGTATCGGTATCTAAAAACATTGCTGTCATCCATCGGCTGTGGCTCAGAGGCAGAGCGGGTCGTTCCTTAATCGGAAGGTTGTGGGTTCATCCTTGAGCAAGATACTGAACCCCCAATTGCTCCCGATGCCGTGCATCGGTGTGTGAGTGTGTATGGATGTTAGTTTCTGTTCGATGGACTTTGCCATCACTGAGTGAATGTGTGTGGAAGGGTGAATGTGGCACGTAGTGTAAAAGTGCTTTGAGTGGTCGGAAGACTAGAAAGGCACTATACAAGTACAGGTCCATTTACCATTTACCATCACTAATATCTAACCGTTTTTATGCCTGAATAAATTCTGTTTTTGTAGAAATCGGACGGAGACAAAAATCTGGGACATAACTTTAAAGGGCCAACATTTTCATAAAAATATATATTTAAAACTTTATGAGTATAATTAAATTTTTACACCTATGTAATTAATAGACATAGTTTTAGATTTTGAGGGTTTTTAATCTTTTAATGTCAATTTAACTTGAAAAATTATTAATTCTTGTCGGGGACAAAGGTGATTTCGGGCACAGGGCAAATTTATAAGTTAAACAAAATGAAATAAGCACCAACATTTTAGAAATTCTATTTATTTCATATATAGAAATACTTTAAAAATACAATTTCCACCCCAAAAAAAATTATTTGTGCGTTGAAAAAGAAAAGTCAAATGTTTTTTTGGTGGAACATTATTTGTACAAATTCTCCAGAATGGCTCTATCCTGCCAACACACACCAACTAATTTCCAATGTGCAGAGAGGCAGTTCCATCACAAAGTGCTTACAGTATACCAATGGACATAATGAAGAACAAGAAAAAGAGTGAAGAACAAAATGAAAAATATGCCTCTTGTTAAATCTGGACAAATTACATGCTGGCTTATGTTACAAAGGCAGAGTAAACCAGACAAATTTGAGTCATTTTCTGTAATTTGGCAAATCAGCTCTCCTGGAGAGCACAATTGCTGAGGTTATGGTGAGCACCAACAGTCAGAGGATATTTTAAGAAGCTTCTACACTTCCCACTCCACAGTTTCCCATAAGTGAGCTCCTGGGCTCCAAGCTTGTTGAAAGCTAGTTGACAAATAGAGAGCAAACATACAGCTGACATAGAAACTGAAAGTGCCACTGATTTCTTAGTAGAGATTTCTAGAACAACTTCACCTAAGTGCATGGAGAAGAAAGAGAATAATCTGAAGAGGTCAAAACTCCAAGTCAAAGCTATTTGAGACCAGTCTCAGCTTGTGGTCTTCGTCAGGGTCATCATCATTGTTTTTCAGTTTACACATATTCTGAAGTGCCAGATTTCAATTTGAGTTGGATTTCACAACTGCTAAAAACCGCCATTCAATTTGTGAGATAAAAGTGTAGGCAAAATTAGAATTTTTGTAATATTACAACCCTTCTGTGGCATCCTGACAGATCCCAAAATGTATAAACTAACCTTTCTGACTCAGTTAGATGTATCTAGTGTTTTGACATATGTTGAAACAGGTAGTAAAAGCAAAACACTTTGGAATATAGACCTACCTTTCAAAGTGCCATTATTTTCCATATTTCATTTTCAGCTGATTCATATCTGATCCTGTGACAGACCAGAGGCATCCACATGCCACATTATACTGTGAGAAGACTATGATAAAAAAGGTAGAGTGGGTGGTGCATTAACCACAGGGTTGGCGGTTTGATCCCTAGCTCCTCCTGTCCACATGTGAAATGAGTGAATGAGAGGCCAATTGTAAAGCACTTTCTCTGCTGAGGTTGACACGCACTATATGAATTAGCACTACTGTTATCTCAGCCAGTGAGTCTCCTAAAGTGATAGAGGAACGAACCAGCTTGACACCACAGCTCCCGCTCCTCCTCTCTATCAAAGTGCTTTGGAAACTTGTTTGTACCATCAGCCATCAGACTCCACAACACCACAGCACCCACCAACCCCCGCTGACTAAGATTGGTTCAACTTCGACCAAACTTCTTGCACAAACTATTTATCTTTAATCTTTAAGTTTGCACATATACAGTTTAGTTTTTCAAAATACTTGTGATTCTTATTGTACTTGTACACTTCTGTACTCTTTGCACTACATTCCCTTGAATTTCTTGAAAAACTTGAATTTCTCCTACGGGAGATCAATAAAGGGACATCTTATCTTATCTTTTGATGGGCAGCAAAGTATAGCAGCTAGAGACAGGTTAGGTGACCCTTTGAAATGTTGGTCACACTGTACAGATGTCATTTAGCAATTTGCAAAGAGTTCTGCATGCATTTACATCTGAATTACCACATCTGTCTTGATTCAGATAACGTCTTAAGAATGTTAATACAAGGTGGACATGGAGTCAAAAACACAAAAAGATTTATCCTTTCATCGGCTGATTATTCAAAATATGTTCAGCCATCACTCGACTCACCTGCATGTGCATGGTTCTGGCTCTGGTTCTGGCCATGTCCTCGTCTTCCACTGTAGTTGCTGTGTTTTGGACTTCGGCTCTCACTAAAGCTGTGAGTCGGGCTTAGACTGCCAGACCTAAGGCCACCATGCCCCAACTGGTTCATGCTTGAGCTGCAGTTCTGACTCCATGATTTGACTCTTCCTGTGGGAGATGCCTGAATAAAACCAGCTGAACTGTGGCTGGGGCTTGGACTAGAGATGTGGTTCTGGTTCTGGTTTTGGTTCTGGTTGAAGGCCTGGACAACGTTGTGCTGTAGCATAGTGAGGCAGTCCCCCAGGCAGCTCAAAGTGGCTGCAGAAGTGGCCTTTAAAAGGAGTAGGTCCTTGACCAATGGGGAAAGGAAAGAGAGAAAGAAGGTGAAGATGAGGACGAGCAGGAATAGAGACTCAAACTATTTCCGTTTTAACCAACTTGAACATCTAAGTTTTAGCTTAGGATTAAAAAGCATTGTGAAGAAATTACTGTGTGCTCGGGTTGTGCAAAGAAAAAAGCACTTGCTCAACACCACAGTTCACTAGTACCCCCTTTGCACCAAGCTTGAGGGCTGTTTTGCCTGAAAAGCGGTTCTTGGGCAGGAAACATACGGCCAACACTTGGCTGGTCTATAACCAAAAACCACTTACAACAGGGTCTAGGGCTGCCTTGTGACCAGCCAATTTCAGGTTCTACTTACAAGGAGTTTGCACATTTCCGGTTTAACTGTACAATGAGGAATTATTAGTAATATTACAGGTGTGTTCACAGTGAGTTTTACCTCAAAAAAAGTGGTAGTTAATCTGGCATTGTTAGCATTTTTACAACATCTCTGATTGTTTTCTGACCTTTTGCAGCACTGAGCGATACAGCAGTTACTTTAGTAAGTACTAGGTAAGTACTAGTAAATTATTGTAATGATAGCCAGAGCTATAAAAGTAACACTCAAGTTTTTATATACTGCTGATACACTGAGCAGAGGTTTTAAGTGTGATGCATCAAATAATAATCTTTTGAATAAAATACCACAAAAGAGAAGTAAAAAAGGCAGACGTAGCACAAAATGTACAGTACTCAGAGTATTATCGTTTTAATGAAAATGGATTAACGCAGCCTGTCACTGGTTACTTGCGTTATTGTACTCTATCTGCCCTGTATACACAATACATGATGTGTTACCTCATCCAAAGAAGAGAAGGGTCCACCTTGGGGGGATAGGGACTCGATAGAGTTGACCAGGGTCTTCTGTTGCCCTTCAGCCTGGCTTATCACCTACATGCAGACACAAAGATTATTATATATATATATATATATATATATAGCCTAACTGCAGCATCATAGTAATCACTCGCTGTCAGTTATAGCAATTATCTGTCACATCAACTGCCTCGCAGCAGTGACACATAAATGGGGATGCAGTTGCCGCCCAGGAACAAACACAGATTATCTCATTTTCTGTTGCTGCGGAAGTTTTCAGTATACAGAATTATCGTACCGATAAGTCCCACAGTATTTTTAGTGAAGTTAGAAGTTATTTATTCCATGCTTTGAACAACTAGACTAGTGTGACGTTACACTGTGTTACAACAGCAAATAAATCCACTGCAGGTTTGCATTAAGTTCAACTTTGACATGTGTCTTTGCGCTGTAAATCAAAAAAACAAAAAAAGGGTGTACGTTCCCATTCTGCCAGACATACAAACGGGTGACAAATTAAAGTAAAAACCACAATGAGGGGGAGAAACATAATGCAGATGCTTCGGCACAGGTCCACTGCGTGGTACAATGTATAAAAATGCTGAGCAGGCCCAGTTGATTGTGATTTCGTCAGACAGATTTTATAGTTCAATTTAATTCAATTAAATTTTATTTGTATAGCGCCAAATCATAACAGAAGTTATCTCAGGACACTTTTCAAATAGAGCAGGTGTAGACCGAACTCCTTATAACATTATTCACAGAGACTCAACAGTTCCCACCATGAGCAGGCACTTGATGACGGCGGCAAGGAAAAACCTTTTAAGAGGCAGAAACCTCGGACAGACCCCGGCTATAGGTGGGTGGTCGTCTGCCTCGACAACAGGTTTACAGAGCTTTAATTTCTGCCTGTATGTAGGAATCAGGTGAACCATGATGTGGTCAGAGAGCCCAGTGCGATGCGGGGGACAGCATGATAAGCTCTGCTGACTGTAGTGTAACAGTGATCCAGTATGTTCTCCTCTCTGGTCGAGCATTTAATAAACTTTATTTGGGGAGTTTGTGGCTGAGGTTTCCTTTGTTAAAGTCACCAAGGACAATAACTAAAGAGTCCGGATTAGTCTGCTCCACACACAGTATCTGGTCGGCAAGCATACGCTGTGCCTCCTGCATGTTGGCCTGTGGTGGAATGTAAATAGTGACCAGAATGAATGAAACAAACTCACGGGGGGAGTAAAAAGGTTTACAGTTAATGAAGAAAGATTCCAGATTAGGAGAGCAGTGCTGTTGGATCACTGTCACATCATTACACCAGCTACTGTTGTTGTAGAAACAGATTCCTTCACCCTTGTTTGAGTGTTCTGTGTCACAATCCGGTATCGGTATCGATCGATCCACACAGCCAAGTTTCCGTGAAGCATAAAACAAAAGATGAAGTCTCTGTTTTCCCAAAAATTAGCTGAAGTTCGTCCATTTTATTGCACAGTGAACGCACGTTGGAGAGGAATATTCTAGGTAATGGTGTGCAGAGACGCGCAAGCGCACCTGCACATTTTCCCCTCCTCCTGCGTTTCATACCTTTGACCACAATGTCCAATAATTCTCTTAATAATAATAAGAGAGAAGAAAAGTGGGAAAGAGATCAGTTGGAGTTGTTCCCCTGATGTTCATGCGCTCTTCTCTAATGAAAGAGCTCCAGGTATCACAGCCGAAAACTGAATTAACAAACAAAACAAGGAAAAACAATGCGCACCAACACACCAAGGCGACCATTCGTGGCGCCATCTTAGGTTAAGGATGTTAATGTGTATAAAGAGCTCTAATTCCATGCATTGTGTGTCTCACACATAGCACTCAGATTGTGGCTCACTCATACGTATCACTCTCAGGAGATGATGAGTCATCAGTGTTCTCTGATGAAATAGCAAGAGAAGAGGTATTACATGACTCAATGATAGCACAGTTAACACACACACACTGCCTTAGATACAATGTACACAAACTTTTGCTTTCATTATTAGCAGCTTTGGGTCCATCAGCCATTTTTCTCTGAAAAAAAAGGAATAGAGAAAACAGAAGTGTAGATTGAGAGGGTTCAGAAGGACCTCATAGGTTCATATTGTGTGTGTCTGTGGCCTTATATCTCCTATGAAGCCACAGTGCGCAATGTTAGCAAACTTTATGGATAGATACTGCCAGTGCTTAAGGTTTATTAATGTGCATTGTCCCTTTTTAAATAAATTCACTTCAAACTTCAAACAGATAACATTGAATATTACACAACATTTATTTACAGATACAGATAGAGCCAGCTTACATGGTGAGCTACGATACCAGGGTACACCATTTACAGATTTTGAAAGTGACAAAGGAGTTATGAGCGGAAGCTGTATACCAAACCTATATTCAAAATTAAATTTATTTAAGTAATTACCAATAATGATTGTAATGAGGTGTGGCAGTCAGGATCAGTGGTATGGGAAAGTGCATGCGTGTGATGGCTAATGGGTAGGCCATGTTCTTTGTGTAAAACAAACATAAAGCCACACTGCCATGTCCACGTTTGGAGCAGCCGCATGTGAATTAAAATAATATATATTTTGAATTGCCAACAGTTGAACAATAGCCTAGAGAAAAAGTAGGCAGACCTCCACTTCCCTCACCGATGCCTGACAAATGTATTAGACTCTTGGATTTTCTGTGTCTGAATAGGACTGAATGCTATTTGGAAGCTTTTAACAGTGAGATGAAGCCATGGGGACATTGGGTGATTTAGTGTAGTTTGATGACTAACAGCATCAAAGCACACTGCTTGGGTTTCTGCACCTCGTCCATTTAGGAACAAAAATACAGGTATTTTAATGTCACTGCACATCACAATCCGGAGTGAGCATTACCTTTAATGTACATGGTGTCAGGGAGCACAAACCATTAGTGATATCCCTGGCTCTTGGTTCAGCTGTTTGAGTACAGAGGAGTAAAGCAGCACTGAAAAGATGAATAAGATGAACCTCATAGTAATGAGCATCTGCACTGGAACACCGTTCAGCCATAACATTATGACCACCTGCCTAATATGTATGGTCCCCCCGTGACCTGTCGAGGCATGTACTCCACTAAACCTCTGAAGGTGTGCTGTGCTCTGGCAGCATATCCTTACGTCCTGTAAGTTGTGAGGTGGGGCCTCCATGGATGGGACTTGTTTGTCCAGCACATCCTACAGATCCTCGATTGGATTAAGATCTGGGGAATTTGGAGGCCAAGTCAACCCCTTCATTTGTTGTTAAAACCTAAAACCTGACAGTCCAGAGTTGGGACCAGGAAGCAGAGCTGTTGTCTTACACACTTCTCTGCGCTTTCTTTAGAACAGTCACCCACCCAAAACCCCATAGAGACTGTGTCTGTCCCCCGACCACCTAAATTATTTAAAGAAATAAAAACAAGAGGAGTTCAACATAAAAATCTAATAAAAATTAAAACCAACTCCTCAGTAGCACAAAATAAGAGAATGAAATGTGGGCTGTTAAATATCAGGTCTCTGATTGATTTACTTTGTCTTACTGAGACCTGGTTGTCCCACGAGGAGTATGTTAGCCTAAATGAATCCACCCCCCCCCCAGTCATATTAATACTCACATTCCTCGAGGCACTGGCCGAGGAGGTGGAGTAGCAGCCATATATGATTCGAGCGTTTTAATGGACCCTAAACCTAAACTAAATTATAATTCATTTGCAAGCCTTGTTCTTAGTCTTTCTCACCCAAACTGGAAAACACTGCAGCCAGTTCTATTTGTTATAGTGTACCGCGCTCCTGGACCGTACTCTGATTTTATATCTGAATTCTCAGAGTTTTTATCAAGTTTAGTCCTTAAATCAGATAAAGTAATTATTGTAGGTGATTTTAATATTCATGTGGATGTTAACAATGACAGCCTTAGTAACGCATTTATATCATTAATAGACTCAATTGGCTTCTGTCAGAGTGTAAATAAACCAACTCATTGTTTAAGTCACACTCTTGACCTTGTTCTATCATATGGCATTGATATTGAACATTTAATAGTCTTCCCACATAATCCTTTCCTATCTGACCATTATTTAATAACTTTTGAATTCATACTATTAGATTATAAGCTATTAGGCAAAACTTCCTACAGCAGATGTCTATCTGACAGTGCTGTAGCTAAATTTAAGGAGGAGATTCCTTCAGTGTTTACTTCAATGCCATGTCTGAATTTAACAGAGTCCTATAAGGACTTTAGTCCCTCTGAAATTGATAATCTTGTCGATAGTGCTGCAGGCTCACTACGATCAACATTAGACTCTATCGCTCCTATAAAAAGGAAATTATTAAAACATAGGAGACTAGCACCGTGGTACAACCACCAAACCCGCCAGTTAAAACAAATAGCTAGGAAATCTGAAAGGAAATGGCACTCTTCCAAATTATCAGAATATGGCTCAATTTGGCAAGATAATCTTAAAACTTATAGAAAGGCCCTCTGTAATGCCAGAGGAGCCTATTACTCAGCACTAATAGAAGAAAATAAGAATAACCCTAGGTTCCTCTTCAGCACTGTAGCCAGGCTGACAGAGAGTCACAACTCTATTGAGCCACATACAGTGGGTACGGAAAGTATTCAGACCCCTTTAAAATTTTCACTCATCATTGCAGCCATTTGCTAAAATCAAAAAAGTTCATTTTATTTCTCATTAATGTACACTCAGCACCCCATCTTAACAGAAAAAAACAGAAATGTAGAAATTTCTGCAAATTTATTAAAAAAGAAAAACTGAAATATCACATGGTCATAAGTATTCAGACCCTTTGCTGTGACACTCATATTTAACTCACATGCTGTCCATTTCTTCTGATCCTCCTTGAGATGGTTCTGCTCCTTCATTGGAGTCTAGCTGTGTTTAATTAAACTGATTGGACTTGATTAGGAAAGGCACACACCTGTCTATATAAGACCTTACAGCTCACAGTGCATGTCAGAGCAAATGAGAATCATGAGGTCGAAGGAACTGCGGCAAGGCACAGATCTGGCCAAGGTTACAAAAGAATTTCTGCAGCACTCAAGGTTCCTAAGAGCACCGTGGCCTCCATAATCCTTAAATGAAAGAAGTTTGGGACGACCAGAACTCTTCCTAGACCTGGCCGTCCAGCCAAACTGAGCAATCGTGGGAGAAGAGCCTTGGTGAGAGAGGTAAAGAAGAACCCAAAGATCACTGTGGCTGAGCTCCAGAGATGCAGTAGGGAGAAGGGAGAAAGTTCCACAAAGTCAACTATCACTGCAGCCCTGCACCAGTCGGGGCTTTATGGCAGAGTGGCCCGACGGAAGCCTCTCCTCAGTGCAAGACATATGAAAGCCCGCATAAAAACACATGAAGGACTCCCAGACTATGAGAAATAAGATTCTCTGGTCTGATGAGACCAAGATTGAACTTTTTGGCGTTAATTCTAAGCGGTATGTGTGGAGAAAACCAGGCACTGCTCATCACCTGCCCAATACAATCCCAACAGTGAAACATGGTGGTGGCAGCATCAGGCTATGGGGATGTTTTTCAGCTGCAGGGACAGGACGACTGGTTGCAATTGAAGGAAAGATGAATGCGGCCAAGTACAGAGATATCCTGGAAGAAAACCTCTTCCAGAGTGCTCAGGACCTCAGACTGGGCCGAAGGTTCACCTTCCAACAAGACAATAACCCTAAGCACACAGCTAAAATAACAAAGGAGTGGCTTTGGAACAAATCTGTGACCATTCTTGACTGGCCCAGCCAGAGCCCTGACCTAAACCCAATTGAGCATCTCTGGAGAGATCTGAAAATGGCTGTCCAACACGTTCACCATCCAACCTGACAGAACTGGAGAGGATCTGCAAGGAAGAATGGTAGAGGATCCCCAAATCCAGGTGTGAAAAACTTGTTGCATCTTTCCCAAGAAGACTCATGGCTGTAGTAGCTAAAAGGGTGCTTCTACTCAATACTGAGCAAAGGGTCTGAATACTTATGACCATGTAATATTTCAGTTTTTCTTTTTTAATTAATTTGCAAAAATTTCTACATTTATGTTTTTTTTCTGTCAAGATGGGGTGCTGAGTGTACATTAATGAGAAATAAAATGAACTTTTTTGATTTTAGCAAATGGCTGCAATGAAACAAAGAGTGAAAAATGTAAAGGGGCCTGAATACTTTCCGTACCCACTGTATCACCACAAACTTAAGTAGCAATGACTTCATGAGCTTCTTCTATAATAAAATTATCCCAACTAGGCTGCTTAAAGAAGTTGTTCCCTTAATTGGCACTTCTTTACTGGATATGATTAATCTTTCTTTATTATCAGGATATGTACCACAGTCCTTTAAAGTAGCTGTAATTAAACCCCTTCTTAAAAAGCCCACTCTTGACCCAGGGGTTTTAGCCAACTATAGACCGATTTCTAACCTCCCCTTCCTCTCTAAGATTCTGGAGAAAGTAGTCGCCAGAGAGCTGTGTGACTTTCTACATAACAATAGTTTATTTGAGGATTTTCAGTCAGGATTTAGAGTTCATCACAGCACAGAGACAGCTCTGGTTAAAGTTAATAATGACCTTCTGATTGCTTCTGACAATGGACTTGTCTCTGTACTTGTATTATTAGATCTTAGTGCTGCATTTGACACCATTGACCATGATATTCTTTTAGAGAGACTTGAGCATCAAATTGGCATTAAAGGAACCACACTAAGCTGGTTTAAGTCATATTTATCAGATCGCTCGCAGTTTGTACATGTTAACGATGAATCTTCAATAAATACTACAGTTAGTCATGGAGTTCCACAAGGTTCTGTACTTAGACCAATACTATTTACTTTATATATGCTCCCTTTAGGCAACATTATTAGGAATCACTCCATTAACTTTCACTGTTATGCAGATGATACGCAGTTATATTTATCAATCAAGCCCGATGAAATTAATCAATTATCTAAATTACAAACATGTCTTAAGGACATAAAATCCTGGATGACCTGCAATTTTCTGATGTTAAACTCGAAATTCTTGTTCTTGGCCCCAAAAACCTTAGAGACTCACTGTCTAAAGATATAGTTACTCTAGATGGCATTAACTTGGCCTCTAGCACCACTGTCAGGAATCTTGGAGTTATCTTTGATCAGGATTTGTCATTTAACTCCCACATAAAGGAGACCTCTAGGACTGCCTTCTTTCATTTACGTAATATTACAAAAATTAGACACATACTATCACAGACAGATGCAGAAAAACTAATCCATGAATTTGTTACTTCAAGGCTGGATTACTGCAACTCTTTATTATCAGGTTGCCCCAATAAGTCCATCCTCTCCTGTGGAACCAGCTTCCAGTTGTGGTTCGGGAGGCAGACACCCTCACCACATTCAAGAGTAGGCTTAAGACGTTCCTCTTTGATAAAGCTTATAGTTAGGGCTGGATCAGGTGAGTCCTGAACCATCCCTTAGTTATGCTGCTATAGGCCTAGACTATCGGGGGATTTCCCATGGTGCACTGAGCTCCTCCCTTCCTCTCTCTTTCTGCACTCATTCATGTTCCATTAATGCATGTTACTAACTTCACTTCTTCCCCGGAGTTCTTGTGCTTTCTCGTCTCGCAGGTTCTTATCGATCCTGGTGGAGCCTCCTGCCATGGTCCTGCTAGATTGCCATTGCCAATACTGTTGTTGCTGTGCACCTGTCTGTCTGGCTGTCTCTCTCTCTCTCTCTCACCCCAACTGGTCGAGACAGATGACCACCCACCTAGAGCCGAAGGATCTGTCCTAGGTTTCTGCCTTTTAACAGGCAGTTTTTCCTTGCCCTTGTTGCCAAGTGCTTGCTCATGGTGGTACTGTTGGGTCTCTGTAATTAATGTTTTAAAGAGTTTGGTCTAGACCTGCTCTATTTGAAAAGTGTCCTGAGATAACTTCTGTTATGAATTGGCGCTATACAAATAAAATTGAATTGAATTGAATTGTTGTGCTCCTTCAAAACCATTCCTGAACCATTTTTGCTTTGTGGCATGGTGCATTATCCTGCTGAAAGAGGCCACTGCCATCAGAGAATACAATTTGGTAAATGGAACTGTACTTGTATAGCGTCTTTCTAGTCTTCCGACCACTTTTACACTACGTGCCATATTCACCCTTTCACACACATTCACTCAGCGATGCACAGCATCTGTCATGGCTCTGCTCCCCTCCTGCTCCCTTTGCTCCTCCCCCTTCCCTGTGTGTCTGAGGGTGCGGCCTCCATTCTCCTCACCTGCTGCCTGCTGTCTCACCTGCTCTCAATCATTCATCATTCCTCAGTCTTCAAGAACCCCGGTCTTCCTCCCATTCATCGCCAGATTGTTTCAGCCTATGTGGTGGTAACTCTCGTGGCTCCTCTCAGTATTAAGTTAGGCAACTTCAAGCCCTCTTGTGTTTTCCCTGTGCCTGTCCCCTTGTCTAACCGTTTCTCTCCCGTGCCCCAGGGTCCCTTTGTGCAGTTTGGCTTCCTGTGTCCGCTCACCTGTGCCTCTGTGTCTCCGGTCTCTTCCGCCATCTCACCCACCCGTTCCTGCTGTGGCCGCCCCTCATCCCCCCTGCGTGTGTGTGTGTGCGTGGAATAAAACCCCCTTTAAACCTTCCATACTGTCTGGGTGTCTGCTCCTGGGTCCGGTCCTAACACCAGCCCTGTCAGCATCGGGAGCAATCTGGGGTTCAGTATCTTGCTCAAGGATACTTCTACATGTGGCGGGAGGAGCCGGGGATTGAGCCACCAACCTTCCGATTAGTGGACGACCCACTCTACCTCTGAGCCACAGCCGCCCGTTTTTCTCCTCCTTCTAACACATCAACTTTGAGGACAAAATGTTCACTTGCTGCCTTATTGATCACACCCACTCCTATTACACCTCTATACACTCTGTCCACCTCTCTCGCCAGTCCACAGAACCTTTTCTCATATTTATCCTCAACAGTTCCCCTAAACTGCAATCTCTTAATTACATTTCACACAGTGGAAACTACAAGCTGACAATGCTTTGTGCACATCAATAACAAACTATATACTTATATATTATATAACTCATTTTCAAGCCGCTTACAGGACCCTATGGTTGATGAGTGTTTGCACAAGGTTTGAAAAGTCAGACTACTTGTAAAGCTTTGAAATTGGCCAAATCACAATTGTTCACATGCTAAGGGCCTTGTAAAAAGAATTTGAGACTGCAGTACTCTTGGGTTGCCCAAACATTTGCACATGCCACAATTATGTTTTATTCTATTGAAATTTTGTGTTTAATTTATGATAAACACAAAACTATGTATACATTTTGCTGAAAATTTTGTGTTTTATTTTCTATATCCTAGAGAGGCTGTGTTTACAGCTTTACTATTAAAGAATCACCAATATACACCACTTGGTAAGGGTTGGCCAAACTTTCTCATACAACAGTAATAAAGGTCCAGTGTGTTGGATTTAGTAGCATCTAGCAGTGTAGTTGCAGATTGCACAATATTGCGAAGGAGAAACTATGGTGGCCTTGAAACATGCAAAAACTTGTTTTCTTTTTCCTTTCTGGGCTTCTGTAGGTTCAACATGAATCCTCTATAAACACTAAAGTTAGTCATGCAATTCCACAAGGTTCTGTGCTTGGACAGATTATGTTCACCTTATATATGCTTCCCTTAGGCAACATTTTTAGGAATCTCTCCATTAACTTTCATTGTTATGCAGATGATACCCAGTTATATGTATCAATCAAGCCTGATGAAATGATCTTATGAATTATGAATTATCTAAATTACAAGTATGTCTTAAGGACATAAAACCCTGGATGTCCAACACCTCAGAAACTCACTCAAAATATCGTTACTCTAGATGGCATTTCCTTTGTCCTCCAGCACCGCCGCCAGGAATCTATTACTAATGTATTAGCTTCTCTGCACAGGCTTCATGTAAAATTCAGAATAGAATTTAGAATCCTCCTCCTCACCTACAAAGCTACAAGGCCCCTTCATATTTTAAAGAGTTCATAGTACCCTATTACTACAGTGGCCGACAAGGGCAAGCGTGCCGCAAATGGGCAATGTCCTTTTTAAACACTTGGCCATAATCTTTTATGATATTATAATATTATAATTATATTATAATAATATTATTATAATATTATAGAAGAATATTCTTCTATAATATTATTTTATTTATTATTTATTATAGAAGATAATATTATAATAATATTAAATAATATTATTATAATATAATAAAAGATTACGGCCAAGTGTTTAAAAAAGACATAAAGGAAAACGTACCTTTTCACTATCCTCTCCAAAACGTAGCCAACTTTCTTCTTCTTCTTCTTCTTCTTCTTCTTCTTCTTCTTCTTTTTCTTCTTTTTCTTCTTAATGTCTTTCGGGTCTGGTCCCACAGGACTGGTTCATCCCTCAGGTCGGGTCCCCCTAGTGGCCCGGCGCACTCTTCCGTTTTGTGGAGCGAATTTGCAGCATTTCTCTCTTGTAGATGTTTTGGGGTTTTGTGTGTTTTTGGTATTTGCAGCATTTTTCTTTGGCATTTGTTTTGTGGGTTTGTAAGTTTTTGCTTCTGCTTTGTTTCTGTGATTGCAGCATTTTTCTGTTGCTGCGTTTTTCTGTTGCATTTGTTTTATATGTTTGTGTGTTTTTGGTTTTGCATCACCGTTTGTGGCGCGTTTGCTCGTTTGTGGCGCGTTTGCCCCTGTCGGACACGGTATATTACCCCACTAGAACACTGCGCTCTCTGAATGCAGGGCTACTTGTGGTTCCTATAGTTTCTATGGGGGTCCTCTATGACCATGGCAAAATGGCCCCAAAAACTGAACCCCACAGGGCTCTTTTACTGATATGCATAAAAATCAGTTAACACGTAGAACTTATCCTCACTTACAGTAGATACGGCGGGAGCCATGTCTCAAACCCAAAAGGACGTTTTTTCGTAGCCACCTACTGGCAACAGGAAGTAAGCGCTGCGTGGCGATTTTGATCAGATTTCCGTGAAATGTTCATGTTGTTGTCCGCACGTGTTACGCCAGCACATGACACGGCCGCAGCATACCACCAACGCCGATTGCAAGGGCCCGTTCATCTCTGCTCGCAGCTTTAATTAGGGCCCGAGAACAAATCTTGCAAAGGCCCTATTGTATCTGTAGGAATTATTATTATTCAGACATTTCAATTGGCCAAACTTGGCACACACAACCCACATGGAAGCATTTTACATTTCATCTGGATATTGCCTGTGGGTGTGTCAAAATGGCTCTATAGCGCCCCCTACAAATTTTCAAAAACGTAGCCCCGGTGTCCTGTTTTGCGGATATGAATGACAACTGGCTGGTATATGTATCATGTCAGGATGTACAAAAAAGCCTCTTGGAACCATATCATAAACCCAACAGCAGTCGGCCATTATGAATGACAAATTTTGCTGCCATTTCTAGGCCTTGTATTTTTTACAAATTTCTCCTAGGGAACTAATCAGAATAACTCCAAATTTGGATTTAAAGTTGTCCTCTTCATGAATATTCATTGAACATTGCCAATTAAAAGTTGTGATATTTGTTACTTCTTGTCAAAGGGCGTGTCCATGGCGTGCCGTAAAAGTCTGCCATTTTGAATTTCCCAGTGATTTTCTGTGGTTTTTCGGGTTTAATTTGAAGGAATGTTACGTTAGCTAACATACCAAGCTTGTTAAGCTTGGTATGATTCATGTCAGCAAAACACAACGTTAATATTGAGTGTGGTTTTAGTCGGGATGGGTTGCTTGTTCTGTTTACAGGCAGCAAATCTTTATCATACCATTAAGGTTATGTTACTAACGTTACAGACACTTGTTGATGAGTCAACCTAATGTACAGCTCAGTAATAGCGTTAAAGAAGCGAGCGGTGGAAAAACAGGAAGGCGACAGTACTGTTTTGTACAGTTTCTGCACAACGTATGAGTTGAAAAGGCATGTTGTTGTCACGTAAGGGCCCTGATCATGTTGCACAGACATTTTAATTGCATTTTGTGTCTGTTAAGAGGAGCAAAAGGCACTCTTTAGGATATGCCCCCAAGAAGTGTATTATAACTAACTGGGAGCTCTGGCCATTAGCTGCAGGAACTCCAGTTTGCTAGCACCAATTCTGGTCGTTCTTTTCCCTATCGACAGTACTCGGTGACCTCTAGTGATCAAGACTAGGGTAAAAATCTGCCGAAGTTCCCCTTTAACTTACGTTACGTTGTTATAACGTAATTGTACTTGCTTGTGTAATAACGGTAGCAGTTTTGGTGCCTTCTGAAAATATTAATTTAAAAGTTATAATGCAGCCTAACTTCTGGTCACAACGTGTGTGTGTAGGTGTGTCTGTGTATGTGTGTGTGTGTGTGAGAGAGAGAGAGATGACTGGTCTAATGTATTGTAATGTAATGCTCTATCATTAGAACTAACTGGAATCTTTTTGTGTTTGTCTCCTGCCCTGCCTATCCCTCCCTTGTTAGCTTTAGATGGTCAGATGTGACTATTTCACATTAACACCTTGTTATAACATCCAAAATGTTAACCTACAGTGCAGAGCTCAGAACCTGAGGATTCTTCAGTTGTTTTTTGCATTTAAAACATAGTCACTATTTTCTGCAGTTGTTTGGGAAAATGCTACAACACTGATTTCCTGTGAAACTCCAGCATTGTTCATTTAAAATGAACTATAAATAAAATCCTACTTTTTACTGTAAAGACCTTTAAGTAATGGTTTCTCTCTGTGTGTGTGTCCCCTCCAGGAGCATCAAAGATCCAGATGATTTCTGGCAATTTGGAGGAGGATTCAGATTTTTCTGCTTTTTCTGCTGTGTTGCACCTCTGTTACAGATTCATTCTTTTGTGGTATGTTTTAATTTTACTTAATAATACACTGTATAGTTAGGATTCATAATTAAAAGACTGTAATGCTTGTCCACAAATGTTATCAGAACTACCTTATACAGAGCCCCCAAGGGTTAGGAGAATGAAGAAGAAGAAGATTTTGATAGAAATGCTAACAGATACACATGTTACACACATGGAGAAGTACCATCTTTAGTTTTTCAGTTCCTCCTGGGGGCTCTAAAGAACTGTTTGTGAATAATTGGTTGATATTGTAAATTGACATCTGAATACAATAAATAAAAGGATTTTAGAATCAATAGTGGTGTTTACTTTATTTGTAGTTAATTTCCCACAACATTTTAATTGAAACAGTGAAAATCTTTACCTGTATCTATTATGTATTGCTTAAGTATGTTTTCAGTTGAGGATATTTCACAGTAATTTTGAAGATCATATTTTGGTGTCTGATTGTAATAATTTAGCAAAAATCTGTAAAATAATCATATTTTCTTGCAGAACTTTTAGCATTGTCCCTTTATTGGAGGTATTTGATCATAATTATTTGGGAAAAATCTGTAAAATAACAGTATTTTCCTACAGAACTTTTAGGATTGTCCCTTTATTGAAGGTGATTGATCATAATTATTTGGGAAAAATCTGTAAAATAACGGTATTTTTCTACAGAACTTTTAGGATTGTCCCTTTATTGAAGGTGATTGATCATAATTATTTGGGGAAAATCTGTAAAATAACGGTATTTTTCTGTAAACATTTTAATGTAATTTTCTGTAAATGTAATGTTTTTACACATTATTTGAATTAGGGTATTTTACTTTAATTTTACGGTCAATGTTTGGCAGTCCTGCCAGTCATTGACCGTTTTTTTTACAGGTTTTCTTCTTACACTGTAGGTAAGGTGTAGGGGATGGATTGATATTGAGCCATAGACTGGCTTGGCTCCATTATATCCAGGAACCAAACCTGTCTGCCGGGCCAAGCACTTTTCTGTACATTTTAAAGAGCCGTAATTCAATAAAGAGGCATAGTAGAGAAAAGGATCAACATGGAAGCCTCAAGATCAATGTAAATTCAAACAGTCATAAGATGCTCACCTTTATTGTGCATGTCTCTCTCTCTCTTTGTAGGGGTTAATCTGTCACAGTTTGTGTGTATGCATGTGTGTGTGTGTGTGTGTGTACCTTGGCGTTGCTATCAGAGTTGCATCGGGAACACAGCTGTAGCTGAGTCATCCATAACTCTTGCTCCTGGACATCCAGTGCTGAAAGGGAAACACAGAGACACAATGTCAATGTCAGAGTTTCCTGCTGTGAGGAAGCGGTCTGCCTATGAGCAAGGAAATTACCTGCACATACTACTACTTTAAACATAGTTATTTTCATTGCATTTTACATTGATTGTTATAGAGGAGGGCTGCTCTCAACAAGTTTCACGAAAAGAGCCAAACCAGCAGTGAATTGATCCTACTAACAAGTACTGTGTGTGAATTAAAAGCATGCTATATAGAGTTCCAATTGTGTCGGAAATAAAACACACATGACCATGGGTGACATGGTCACTCGTTTAACAAACTAAGGTGCAACACATGAAGTGTTGTCATATCTGTAAGAGACTTTAGTTCAACAAACATAGGAATAGAAACATAGGACACATCCATTTTATTAGGGAAATATCACATCTATAAAGTTGTTAGGGTCGTGCCCATCATTTGAACCTTTCAGAATTGAATGTAGATAAGAACGCCTTGAATGTCCCTACAGCCAGTGCTTGGTTTGTCTCTTCTGGGCTACTGTAGAAACATGGCAACAATTCTTATAATGAGGTGATCAACAGGTGTTTTATTCTGTATTTTTTTCTTCTTTATTGCTGAAAATTGCTGATTTGGTTTGATTTTTAAGGGCTAAGCCAAAATGGACTCGATCAGGAGATTTGGACTATGGCAACACAGACGCATTCAGATGCTGATGCAGGTAGGCTAGTTACTTCTAACTTAATCTGTTTAGATAGATAGACTTTATTGTCCTTCACAGGAAATTTGTCACTGCAGTCTGTACATAGCTATCAGACATACATACATAGATACGAAAAACATATGGACACCACAACATAACAACAAGAATAAACACTTAATGCAGCACATTTAGCACATTTACCACTCCCTGTCCTGTGCGTAGCACTCACTTACGGCTGTTACCGGGATGCCTTGTTTAGAGATGCTATGGCAGAAGGTACAAAACTCCTGCCATAGCGAGCACGTTTACAGGCCACGGTCCTGTATCTGCGTCGAGATGGTAGCAGTACGAATAATGAGTTGAGGGGGTGACTGGTCCGTGTATGTTTTGGTCATTCGATTTTCCTTTCAGAAACGGGTATTAAAAAACAGAAAACGAGTGGTTATTTGATTTTCGTTTTAAAATACAAAAATGAAAATTGAAATACAAGGCGTTTTTCTTTTTCATGGTCAAAAAGGGATGAGCGAAATTAAAAAAATGATTCGATTTTCATTTTCTATTTCATATAACAAAAAATAAAATCACTAGAAAACAGAAACAGAAAAAAGGCCTGTTTTTTCATATTCTGAGACCGGATGTTGTCATTTACAGGACGGTGCTGTGTAGAAGAAACAGTAGACTAGTAGACTGCGGTCAATCCAGCCGTGAGTCCGATCTCCGTGGACAAATCAGCCGCACTTAAATTTAGAGTGTACAAGTAATCTCAGCATTATGGTAAATGCGGAGAAACAGCGTATTTACTTCCGGTTTTCAAAATAAAGGTATTTAGAACAGTACGCTATAATTAAAATAGGCTATGTTACATTAAAGTGTTTCATGCGCCCCTGATGAATAAAAAACACTTTATATCAAGTATCTTTACTGCACCAGTGTGGAGAAATGCCAAAATAAAAGTCTCATATTTATGCCTCCAGAGATAGCATATTTGACCATATTTGAGGTACTGTAAAAACATATTGCTCAGTGTTTCCTGGCTACTGATGGTATATTTGACTTTTACACATATGAGACTACAAACATACTTAATATCAAGCATTTTTACTTACCAATTTGGAGAAATTCAACAATAAAAGTCCATATTTGTACCTCCAAGTGGTATTTTCATATATTTGAGCTACTGTAAAAACACTTTGCTCAATAATTCCTGGCTATGGATGATATATTTGACTTCTACACATCTAAGACTACAAGTATACTTAATATCAAGCATTTTTACTGTACCAATGTGGAGAAATTGAAGAATAAAAGTCCCATATTTATACTTCCAGATTCCATATTTTCTTATATTTGAGCTACTGTAAAAATGTAAACTGTATGTGGAACCACCTGCAACAGCTGTCACACTGAATAATATAAAAAATAATATGTGAGGAAGAGACAGTAGGTACAATGGTGTTTTGAAGTTAAAACTAATTATTTTTCCCTTTTACCTACAAATGGACACAGCAGAGCTGCAAAATAAGAAGAATGTGGACTGGCATTGCATTTTGTGTGAAAAGTAAACAAATTAGAATTGTGTAGGATTTTGTGTTTAGTGTTTAGTGTTTATATTATCAAGATGTTATTAAACATTTGTGTGAAATTTTGTCATGATTACTGCAGCATTATTGAAGTATAATGAAAATGCTTCACCCATAGCCAGGAAACACTGAGCAATGTGTTTTTACAGTACCTCAAATATGGTCAAATATGCAATCTCTGGAGGCATAAATATGAGGCTTTTATTTCGGCATTTCTCCACACTGGTACAGTAAAGATACTTGATATAAAGTTTTTTTTTATTCATCAGGGGCGCATGAAACACTTTAATGTAACATATTTTAATTATAGCGTACTGTTCTAAATACCTTTATTTTGAAAACCGGAAGTAAATACGCTGTTTCTCCGCATTTACCATAATGCTGAGAATACTTGTACACTCTAAATTTAAGTGCGGCTGATTTGACCACGGAGATCGGACTCACGGCTGGATTGACCGCAGTCTACTAGCCTACTGTTTCTTCTACACAGCACCGTCCTGTAAATGACAACATCCGGTCTCAGAATATGAAACAACAGGCCTTTTTTCCGTTTCTGTTTTCTAGTGATTTTATTTTTTGTTATATGAAATAGAAAATGAAAATCGAATAATTTTTTTAATTTCGCTCATCCCTTTCTGACCATGAAAAAGAAAAACGCCTTGTATTTCAATTTTAATTTCTGTATTTTAAAACGAAAATCAAATAACCACTCGTTTTCTGTTTTTTAATACCCGTTTCTGAAAGGAAAATCCAATGACCAAAACAGACCGGGGACTGGGGTTGTGTGCTATACTGTGTGCTCTGCGTGTAATGATGAACGTTTCCGGCTTTATTGCAGTAATACATATTACCTATTACAGAAATAGACTACAGTCATCAGAAAAGGAAGCACTGGGTTTGAATTAAAGAGCAGCAGACCTTGAAACAATCCACCCAGCCCACCAGCTGGACCAGCTGTTGCGCTTTCAGCTTCGTCAGCCATGATGAGGAAGGATTACACGGAGGAAACTGTCTCACGTGTTGCTTTTATTTTACTCTCTTCTTCACAGCACCGGGAAAAGAACATCAGTAGCCATGGCTTCATGAAAAGTCACACAGTGCACCGCTCCCACACTGCTACCAAACATAAAGTGCCCCAAAGTGACGTAAAGTGCCCAAACAAAAAAAGAAAAAAAACACAGCAGGTCGTACTTCTTATAATACAGGTTCATAACAAAACAGGCTGGTCGTAATTCTTACAATATGGGAGTATATCAAACACGTGGGATGATATAACTTAAATCTAATGTAAATAATATGCTTGTTGAGAATACATAAGTTAACACCAGCCCATCATTTATACATACATTGGTAACTTACTATTATTGATGGAAGAGCAATGCAGAGTTGCACCGCATAGTTTGGTTAGCCAAACAGGAGGGTAACATTGTGGGCTGTTAAATACTATGATCTTGTGCGTGTTCCAGGTCATGTGAACAGCATATTTGTAATATTAATTTCTGCCATAAGAAACTTGTTTTGGTAAAAGGGGAATACGGGGAGACATTATAGATAATTTGTGTAAAGTATATTTGTGTTTACAAGGCTGAAAATGCTTTATATAATAAGAAACTGTGTTGAAAATATAGTATATAGAATATAGTATAGCCTAGTGGGAAAAGCTATTGGTTTAAAAGGGGCTGATGTGGCCCTAGTGAAAGCAGTCTTGGTTACAGTGAAGGTAACAGTCATTGAAAGGTATGATTTAAGTTACTGAGGAACCCCTTGTTGTGACAATTTTTTATTAACATTGTAACATTTCTTTTTTTAAAATGTTTTCACTTTTTACCACTTCCTGTAAATATTATCACTGTTTTGCACCTTGGGAGGCCAGCAATAAATTGCACCAACAATATCTTCTGACTACTAAGTTATTTTTTTTTTTTTTATACGTCTATGTATATATGTATATAAGTAACTGAATATGTTGGTTTCTTTTATTTTATATGTTATTACATACATTTTTGTTTATGTGTGTAGCATGAAGGCTCAATTCAGTATACAGCCTTGTATTGTATAATGATAAATACATTTTCTTTGATTCCTTGATTCTACACTAATGAAAGCATAGCTATGCATATTATATTCTAATAAATATTAGATAAATAAGTGTTACACAGTGGATTTAAAATACTGTATTTAAAACAAATTTTGTATTTTCTTATATTGTCAGTCTCAGGTAAACATAGAGCTCCTCTAGTGACTTTTGCACACATACATATTTCTTCAGGTGACTGCCAGAGAAGTAGGTACATATGCAACAAAAAGAAAGCTTTGTGAGGCTACACAAAGCAAGAGATCAATAAAAACATCAGAATTTAACACACCTCTGTCAAAAAGCCATAAGTGTGACAAAGAGTGAGGGAGAGACATACAACAGAGAGAGAGAGAGTCACACACAGAGCAGGGAGAGAGAGAGAGAGAGAGAGAGAGAGAGAGAGAGAGAGAGGTAGACATATTTTAAGTGTGCCCATATCATTGAAGACATTAGCCTTATTTTAAAGTTAAAGACTGGTGATTCTGACATTGAAATGGTCACTCTTTATACCTTTATGGCAAATGGATGTTTCTCTATTTGCAAAGATGGAACTACAATGGAAATATGACCATTAATTTATATATTTTAAGTGTGATAAAATTTGTCTGACAACAAATCCCTTGAAAAAATGAAAGTATATTGACTTTTTCTG